AGTCACCATGTGGCAAAAATTTTTAAACTTTTTTTTTTTTTTTTTTTTTGGTGCTGAGATTGAACTCCAGCCCTTGCGCTTGCTTGCAAGGCAGGTGGCAGAACCATGTGCCAAATTCTCGGCCCCAATTTTTCAACTTTTTAATTAAAGGAAAAAAGCATGTTTAGTTCATGGGTCACTAGGATTGGAAGTTCCATTCGCCCCAGCTGTTCCCCTGCTGGGTATCTTCCCCAAAGAATTAAAAGAATCATACCACAGTGATATATGTGTTCCCATGTTCATAGCAGCACAATTCATGATAGCTAAAACTTGGAAGCAGCCCAAATGCCCATCAACAGGAGACTGGATAAAGAAAATGTGTTTTGTTTTTGTTTTTTTTGTTTATAAAATGGAGTATTTCTCAGCCATAAAGAACAAGAGATATTTATAGCTAAATGGATGCACGTTGAGGCCAAATCAATAGGACACACATGTAAATACTGAATAGTTTCTCTGGTGTGAGAAACTGAAAGTGTAAATAAGGACTAAAAGATAATGTGGAATAGGAAGAAAAGGTGCAAAGGGGAAGTAGGAGGGGCAGGGGAAAAGAAGGGAATGGAATTAATATGAGAAAAAGAAAAATAGAAACAGTCTTTGTAGATAGGAAGGGGTAGATAGGTTGAAGTGAGGGCAGGGCAATGGGGAAAAAAATAAGATGGATTATGTGAAGGCGCAAATTTCCAATGATTAATGTCATTATATTGTATACCTTAAATGTACCGATAAAATTAATTTAAAAGACCAAATTCCTAATTGCTTTTTAAATAAAATACATACATACTCAGATTTGACCAGTATCTGGGTACTACCCTGACAAACCACAGTTAAGAGTCTGACATGAGGTGACTAAATTGCTACTAAAGTTATCCTATATGCCAAATATCCTCTTGTTCTCTGCTTTGGAAGCCTAATCACAATTCAGAGATGACTGTCAAATAAAATGAGTGTTTTCACTGTTATGAAATAAAATGAGTGTTTCAGATTATAGTATCATTTAATATAGAAACAGGAACGTAATGTGTACAAACAGGTTCTTAAATATATATATTCTCCCTGGCTGAAATAAAGCATATTTTGTAAATAGTAGGCATATTTTAAGACTTGATGTAGTATTCTGATCTAACGGTTAAAAAATGTCAGAGTGCCAGGGTTTGACTCAGTGGTTCTGACACCTGCCTCACAAGCATGAGAACCCCGAGTTCAACCCCCAGGACCTAAAAAAAAAAAAGTCACAGAAACTCATGCTTTAAAACATTACTTTTAAATGTTGCATCAAGTCTTAATATGGTCAAACAAAAGAAATAAGAGCTTATAACTGCCTAAACTTTCTTTTCAGAGCCAAAGAGCCAAACAGCAATGTTAAGGTAAAAGGAAGTACAATATTTCCTTTGTTTTAAAACTTTCCTGTGCAAGGGGAAAATGTATGACTTCAAAACTAAGACAGCAATGATTTTTAATCAGTACAGAAGAAAACACTTCCTTAGATCAGAAGTAAGCAAACTACACTGTATTTCATTTTTACATGGCCTGCAAGCTCAGAATGGTTATACATCTTTAAATCTTAAAAAACATTCTGACACATAAAAATGACAGAGAATTCAAATTTCAATGTTCATAATGAATTATTGGAACAAAGCCACACTCATTTCCTTCCAAACTGTTTTGGCTATACAGTACTTTACCCTAGTACTAGAGTTGAATAGTTACGACACAAACCAGCAGCCTGTACAGAAAGTTTTCTCATCAGTACTTTATACTGCTGAGCAGTATGACTGCAAAATTCTCTTATTTACTATTTATCCAAAACAGGGTCTCAATACATAGTTTAGGCTGGCCTCAAACTCACAGCAATCCTCCTGCCTTAGTCTTCCAAGTGCTAGGACTACAGGGGTGTGCCAACATGCCTGACTTACATCTACTTTATTACATTTTACTGATTCCAGAAACAACATAGTGAATGTTTAAATATTAAACCTGGTATTTATAACCTGCAAAAAGATCCTCTCCACTTTGAAAAGATACCTGTTTCCATAGTGATTATATGGAAATATACATTATATTCTTGAAAGTATTAATCTAAGAAAAGTAGTATATTTAGATATTTGTAAAATATGTAAGACTCTGATATGTAATACCATTTTTAAAACATCAACTTTTTAAAATATTTTTAAGCATGGCTTTCTCTGACATTTTTTAATAAATCTTCATTCAACTCACAAATTTCCCAGTATGAAATTTCAATTATAGGAATTCCAAGTTTTACAAGGTAATATAAAAAGTGTGGCACGTAATTAAGCTTTCCTGATAATTCAAATCATGCCCATGGCCAATAACAATAAGCCTAGCCCACAACTCAAATGGCAACCACATCGTAACACTTTTTTCCCCTTCTCACAAAATTCTCATTAGCTCCCACACAGAGTTTGTTTCTGTGTGGGAAATATCCCCAAAAGCCTTGAGTTACATACTCTGTTATTGCTATTTTATAGGGAACACTGTAATACCTGAGAATTTGGACATTTGGGAAGTCCCAGATAAATCCTTTGTAAATATTATAAAGCTATGGAAACTAATTTTGTTAGGATGATACATTTGTACGGGCATAGAGGACTTGTAACACTATCAAGGCACAATAAATATGTACTAGCAATAAGCCTAAATCTATACGTTACAGTTGTTTCACTTAACGATTCTGTAATCTTTAAGTGCTCACTCATCAATCCTGCTATTTTATTCTGTTAGTTAACAAAATGATTGCATCATTTTTTCTGAATTTCTTGTGTTGCTACAGAAAACCTTTTAAGGTTAGACTTAACTTGAAATGGGACAGTACCTAAGACCAGCATGTGCAAATGTTGATTCCCGCTCGCAAGGCCTGATGACAAACCTCTCCTCAACAAGGAAAATAATTTGGCACCAATGTAAAAGAATACTAAGTGTTTGTTCAATATTTAGTTAGAGCCTGGCGTGGTGGAGAACGCCTGTATTCCCAGCACTCGGGAGGCTGAAGCAGGAGGATTGCTATGAGTTCGAGACCAGCCTGGGCTACATAGTGAGTTCAAGGTCAGTCTCAAGTGCATAGTGAGACCCTGTCTCAAAAAAAACAAAAAACAAACAAAACAGAGATGAAACCAACTGTTCTATGCCGAAAGGGTGTTGTCCAGCCTCTCCTTGCAACTGCTCTATAGTACAAAAGCTCACCTCTACTCCCAATGTGTATAAACCACTAGCAAAATACAAGTGCCTTGGAGTTAGACTCACTGTCTTTAAGTGGCAATTAGTCACCAAATATTATTGCCCGAAAGTGCCAGGCCTTGGGAGAGGGAGGTGGACTTCACTTCTGACCTAAAATATTAGTATTCCTTCTAACTACACACCTTATCCTAGGGAGAAACTCCTAACGACTATTTTTCTGCATCTCCTCATGGTTTTGGTGCCGTTTTAATGCCTCTGTAATGCTTTCATGCTCAGCAGCCTTTAAACCTCCAAACACCCGAAACCGTCCGGATGAATGGATTAGGACCCGGCTGGGCCAGCCAGAATTCGGCTCCCACCCACCACCAGCTGCGCAGTCTCGACCCAGGGAGGACACCCGCAGCAGGAAGCCCTCCACCCCGGCAGCCCGCAGTTGCACACCAAATCCTGACACCCAAGGCTCGGCCTAGCGTGGGATCCCGCCGGACAAGGGCAGCCAATGCCATCTCTTGCAGCCCCCACCCCCACTCCGCAGACGCCCCCCGGGGGCCGCAGCCTCACCTCTCTGGGTAGCCATGGCTTTCGCACAGCCCCTCTCGGAACTGACACGTATCCCCTCCGTTCCGCTTGCCCTGCGCGGACCTGGGGACCGCCCCGCGGGCTCATAGAGACGACGACGCTCGGCCTAGAGCGGCCCGCGGCTTCCGTCCCCTGTAGCTGTAATCAAGCCGGGGAATCCTTGCGCCTCCTGAAGAGACAATGAAGAGGTGGTCTGTACAGCGGAGTCAGCGGTAACGAGTGTGAGAAACTCGTTCGAGGAGTGATTCTGAGAAATTCAACCCCAGGCCGGCTAAGGAAGCGAAGTCGAGAGAGCGGAGCCTTGCCTTCTGGGAATTGTAGTCCTCACAAAGGCGATGAGGCGCAAGTAAAGATTTGCAGTTAGACTTAGTGATTCATTCCTGTCATAGATGTTGGAGAAGATCCCAGAATTCATAAAGTAACAGAAATTACTTTCATCAACGTTTATAACTTCTGCCACACTCGCCTCTTGTGTAAATTTAGTATAATTTATATATGACTCATAAGTCTTGTCACGTCAGGATTGTCATTGACTAGCCCAGACCTTCTAACTCTATAATCTTCAAACAACAAAAGGGCCTCAGAAATATTAAATGTATCAACAGGCACTCCAACCACTATAATCTTTACATTTACTAAACTTTGATTAGCATAAGCGAAATTAGAAATAATTCCTTGGCAAAGTGAGTGTTTAGGATATGTGGATTGGTTTAAAATACTATAAAAATACTTCAGCCCTTATGGGAACAAGTATACAAGATTTTGATGTGCCCAGTAGCCTCCATCTCCTGTAGCATGATTCCCCCACCAAATATTTTTTTCTTTTTAACGAGTTGAGGAATGAATCTTTTATACCACTGTGTTGTCATTATAGGAATAGTCTCCTCCGTTAACTGGGAAATTTAGCCTGCCTTATTAGCATAATAATAGGTGTTTCCAGGAGACTAGAGTTGACATTGTAATTTGATTAATCCCATTTTGGAACAATGTTAGATCTTCCCTTCTCTACCTGACTGAGTGTGCTTACTGGGGCTAATCACCTCTTCATGAAATTGATATAGTTTATACTTCTGAAATTATTCAGTTCCCATCTGTGTATGTACTTGTAAATACAGTTAAACATAAAACTCATATTTATACTTTAATTTTAAAGATTAAAATTTAATTTAAAATTTAAATATAAAGATTAAAATTCATATATTCCTTCTTTTGTTTTACAACTACTGCTCTATACACTTTCTTCCTTTTTTGGAGTATTACTGTGTTCTCAACTTACTTCAATTAACTATACATAATTACTCTTTTTCTAATGCTTAAATATCCAAATATGACCCTTGTAAACTTGCTTCTTTACAAAGTCTGATCAGCTTTTGGAAGAATTGTCTTTCTGGTAACAGGCAGTTCCAAACCAGTGTTGATTTCCCCCATCCAGTCATGGAATCAAATACACTTTGAGAAACCATAGGTCCTTCTAGGAGAATATAGTATTAGACACATATGTAAACATTGACCACAACTAATTATCCTTGGTCTCCCAGGGTAAAGACCCTGAGCTCATACTTTGATCTTCCCTTCTCTTTTCTCAGATGTTATTCCCTCTTAATTAAAAGTAACATTTTTCCCTTCTACCGTCTATCACCAAATACCCAATATTTTTGTAACAGCTTCCTACTCATCTCCCCACTCCAGAATCAAGAATCTGTAATGGTTTCCTAATGAACTACTACAGGAAGGCAAACTATTTCTTTGCCTCTCAAAGTTGTCCAAAAAGTATACAAAATCTACCCAACTTTATTTCCCTAAAAAATAGTCTCCCTATTCTCCCTCTTTTGTAATAATTACTTTACTGAACTCATTATCAACTTCCACCTTGACTGTTAAAACACTCAACCAAAACCCTGCTTCTAGTTTGTCTCTTCATTCATTCTTTCTAAACATTCATGCATCCAAGAAAACACTATACCAATGTCAGGGATACAAAGATGACTAAAACAGTTAAATTTTAAGAAACTCACTATCAGAATGAAGATGAACACTTAACTATACGGTATTCCTATTTAAGTGCCGTAGTAAAAGTATGAATAACATCCAACAATAACCCTAAAGAGGAACCAATTCTTTCATGGTTGATGGGAAAATCCTTCATAAAAATAGTAAAATTTGAAGTTTGAAGGCAAATAGAATTTCATGGCATGACTACAGAGTACATTCCAAGGGGAGGACATTTCAATAAAACAGATGGAAATGTAGACCCTTGCAGTAATTTAAACTATCCAGGTCCAGAACATTAAATAGTGCATGCTTTCTCTTATATAAGCATTCTACAAATAAATTCAAAATAAAAGAAGAACCAAAGTGGCAGAGTAGCAATCAGCAGCAAAATATAGCCTTTCCAGGAGCCAGAATGCAGACATTTGGAATATAACAAGTTGGCAAAGATTTTAAAAAAAACAAAAAAAAGTACATTACCAGGAATTGGGCGGGAACTGGAAAGAAAATGAGAAACTACATAGAAACTGGAGAATCAGGGCAATACAGAAAAAAGAATAAGCAGTCTGGACACTCACCCCAGTTCCCAGGGAGGAGGACTTGTCTCTACAGATTTAAGCAAGATCGACCTGCATGTAAATTGTCATGATTTTCATACCTGTACTTTTAAAAAATGATGGTAAAGATAGGCAAGTCTTGGAGAAGAGGGTAGGAAGCTATTACTAAGCATCACAAACTTGATTTTGTCTGTTAATTGACCTTCATTTAGAATTGTAAGATCCCTAAACACAAAACAGTGGCTTTAAGCCACTATCTGTGGTTATCTTAGGGCTGGAATTAGAATACCCAAAAAAATGAAAATATCAAATCCAAGTTGTAAAGCTAGGATATGAGGCAATCTGGCTGCGACATCTGTCCTCCATTGACTGCCAGGGTTGATTTAGCTGATCTGGCTAGGCAGGTGTCCCCTTCCTCCCTCACTGCTCCGTGTGTGTCCTTCCCAAAGCTGTGTGGAAGAAGACCCTCTTCAAGGGTATTTAGTAGCTGTGTTCCCCTGCTAGAACCTGCAGACAAGCTCTCAATTTGAAAAACTAAATTTGTTCTTGCTCTTTACTGTTGTTCTTCACTTTGTGATATCTATAGAAAATAGATTTTAAAGCACATTTGTGTTACAGTTAGCATTTAACCTACATAGAAAACAAATTATCCAAACATCTTAGTAAAAGAAAATCACCTTGAGCAGAAGAACTGCTATATATAAATCACAGATCTACTCCTGCCCTGTTAAAGGCAGTTTAATAAGCCCTCCATCTGGAACTGTTCGTTTCCATGAGTTGGTATTAGAAGTATGTAAAATTGTATCTCTAAAATTTAGATATCATTAATTCACCATGGGGTCAGGTAAATAAGACAAAGGAGTAAAGTGGGAAGCCTATAAGGTAGCAGGAACTGGGTTGGAGAGTAGAGAAGAAGTACTTGTCCTGTGATGGGGAAAAGCTACTACTTACACAAATGCCAAGCAGATGTAGCTACATAGATATTCTGATTTTTTTTTTTTAGAGCAGAAATCTAGATTTTATGTAAAACTTGTGGGCTTTTGTGCCAACTCTTCCAAACAATAAAGTTTCATCATAAAGCAATGTAATCTGTGTTAGCATTCACTAGTTAATAAAGCTGAAAAAGCTTCAGTTTTAAATTTTTAATTTCTAACATTAAGTGTGATTTTAGAAATAGGCCTTCTAGACCAGTGACAATAAACTTACAGTATATAATCAAAATGGCATCATAATTTCAATCATATTGCTGCCAAACTTTCTCTAAAAGAAAAAAAGACACATGGGCAGAATTTTACCTATCATTTTAATAGAATGAAAATTGTTTTAGAGAACATAAATTTCAGTTTTTTGTAGCAGTTTGACAGTATATGAGAATCCAACAAACATTCACACAATCAGCGAATGTGCCACCCCCAAAAACTTAATTTTCATGGATCTAAACCAAGGAACGTCTTTGAAGATATCATCTTTAGGTTTCATCAACAGCTCTAGTTAAGTTCACCTTGACCCCATGGGTTACTTTGCTTTGTCCACCACGAAGGCCAGAGATGTAAATCTGGGGCCTGGGCACTTGTGTGCCATCTTCCCTCATGGTCTGGCTGCCAGCATTTTTGGAGGGGTACACCTGTGAACAATTTTCTCTTCTCATATGACTGAGATCAGTCTGTACTGAATGAGTAATTTTCTGACGTAAATTGGCCTAAGTGGAAACAGAAAACAGAAATTAAAATTTCTCTAAAGAATAATTTACAGTATTATCAGACACTAATTAATATCTATCACCTCAATCTGCAAAGAAATTAATCTTATAACAGCAACTTTCTATAAACTATGAGAACACTAGAAAATCTAGGCTATCAGAGAAAAATAACCTTTACTCAAAAGTGGAAAAATATATAAAATGATGAAAATGAACCCCCCAAAAATATACTAGATTCACAGTTACAGTGAGCTCAACTATTTGTTAAAAATAATCTTTTAATTCCTTTGTTATACTTTCAATTCATATAACTTGGATTTTCCCACACTTGCTTTATTTTTTTAAGATAAAATTTTTAGATTTATGAAATCTTTACAAAATAGGCTTCGCCCTTAGCTTTTAATATAAAAAGCTCTGATGTTTTCAATTTATGTTTTACATTATTCTTCACCTTGCTTACTTTCTTTATGGATTACTAGTAAACATGAAGTTGAACAGATCACATAGGCTGGAAAGCAAAAAAGAGCTAATAAAGAGGATGGGGGTGTGTGGCTCAGTAGTACAGCACTTGCCCTGGGTTCCATTCCCAGCACCATTAAAAATCATAAGTATTGATGAGGTTACAAAGGTCCAGAAAAAGCTCACATGGCATTACAGCATGAGTGAAGAAGAGAAAACATTTCAGGGTAATTGAGAAACCAAACCATTCCCAGCACACACACTGCTTATTGTCTACATTTATATGACTTTACTATTCCATTCAGTAGCATAATTTTACTATTCCAAGAGATTCTTGCCGAATCAAATAACTTGACTGTTCACTACATAAAAGTTGAATCACTTTTTCAATACATGGGATTAAACACAAAGTCTCTCACATGCTTCATAAGGAGATCTACCACTGACCTATGTCCTCACCCCCTTTGGGTCCTTTGCCTCAAAAATCTCACCTTACTCTTCCCATCAAGGTTTGACTGATTTTTCTCTATCCAGTCGTAATCAAATCCTTAACCTATTTTAGGCACTGAAAGACCTGCCTCGACAAACTTCAAATTCTCAATAAATTATGCATTTGCCATTCTTTCTTTGGAGGTTATGTTTTCCTTTAAGGAATAAGCAATAAATTCAGCTTTATCTCATCAACAGATTGGGTTGGTAATACTCAGACAGCCTTGGCATTCAACATGATGCAATACTCAGGGACCATTAGATCTCAGGTGAGAATAAAAACCAAGTGGAGTCTGAGGAATGGGAAGAGAGAGTTCAGTCAGTATAAAGTTTAGCCCCTCGGACTACCCCATTCTCTTAGCATTTCCAGGCTATACCTATTTTGTTCTCTCTTCCTTTTTTGACCTTATCCATCCACTGTTTCCCTCTCTCTTTGTCTGTTTGTATCTGAAGACCAACTTCAATATGTCACCTCATTTAATTTAGAAGTTATATTTCACTTGTTATACTATTGCCAAAAGGGGTACTGAAATATTTTAGTGTATCAGTATCACCTGCTGGCCTATTATCCCCCGATAGAACAAGGTAGTAGGATATATGTTAGCCAATAAATGTATGATGAACTCATGTGAGTTTTGTAAATACAGAACAGACTATGGAGAAGTGGGCATTTCTACAAAAGATTAACTAGTAGGAATGCAATGGAACAATGATCTGGAATATATGTATGGATCCTGATCCTGCCTAGGAAATCAGGGAACTGAAAAACCTACCACCAGAGAAGGTAGCCATGAAAATGTAGTTAGTGAGAAGCCTGTCACAGATTGAATATACCAACAAAACAAAGGCCAAACCACCTATGACAACAGAACTCTGATTCACAGCCTCTACATCAATCAGTTCAGGAAGCCAAATCACAACTTCTGTAGTGGTAGCAATCAGCCCAGACCGGCCATGACGCTAACACCACCCACTTTCACCCCACGTCCCCAGCTCAAGAGCATCCAGAGAAAACCAGATATGCTCACAAAATCAATCACAGAAAATACTCTGCGTTAGCGTGCCTCCAGTTTCCCACGTCATCAACCTCCAATCAGAGAACATTTGAAGCTTTTCCAGCTTTTCTCGCTGTAAAGCTTTCCCATTTCCCTGCCTGGGTTTTTTGTTGTTGTTGTTGTTGCTGTTTTTTCAGTCTGCCAAACACAAGTCAAGATGGCTAAATCCCTTGCTATTGTAAGTTCTGAATGTTCTCATTTGGCCTTCATTTATTTCCACACCTAAAGAGATAGATTAAATATACTAAGAAAAGGCTACAGACATAAATTGTTAATCTCATCCATATTATAAGTATCTGTTGTTTAAGTTACTACCACAAAAAGGGGCAAGCTGAGGGAATTCAAATTGGAAAGGGATAAGTTTCACAGACAGTCTTTAAGGCTAGGTACCCATTCTGATTAAGATGACTGAGAATCAAAAGGATGAGTGAGACCACTGTCTGGATAGAACAGGTTGACAATAAGACCAGACCGTAAGATTTAACCAAAAAATGCCCCCCATTGGGACTAGGCTTTAAATGATTAGAATTAGAAGTTGGTTAAAATCTGAGTTTTCAAACTATTAAATACATACATAATCATTCTATTCACTGGCTGATATCACTTGACAGTAATTTCATGCTTCTGTATTTCTAAAATCAAAAGCCAATTTTATAAAGTAAAACTGGTATATTATAAATTATGTTATTTTGATGTCAGCAAAGAGTTCTGAACAGGATGCATTATTTTATATAAGTAATTTAACTTACAAAAATCTATGAGCAATAGCATATTAAAATTCCACAACCTATGAATAATTTTAGAAAATATAGTTATTACAAACCAGTTTTATAGCTTTTCTTCTTAGTTCCCACTCATTCCACTCATATGATCTCACAACTGTTGGTGGCAATATGTGTGTATCTGTTTGTGTGCTACTTTCACACTTTGTAATTGGTTTTACATAATGTTTGTCAACGTCTCTCATCTAAAAAAATGGAGTTTTGCAATTAGTACTTGTAAAACAAAAACATTACAGATAAATATTTACCTAAAACTGCCAACAAAGTAGACAGAACTTTAGAACATAAAATATACTTGTAAATATCAACACAGAAAATAAACTCATAATTATTCAACTGAATGGAATTATTTTTCTGAGCACTGTGACTTCATGAATGATTTTGTGAAGTTAATGTAAGAAATGTATTTTAGAAGGTGAAAACATCCCTCATGCCCATGTAAAATGCCCTTCCTCGTGTTCCACAATTGGTAATGTAAATGAATAACTGGTTACAAACTGATAGAATTTTAAAATAATTATTACATTGGTTTAAACTATCAAAACCTCTTTAGGCCACACCCATGCATTCATAGCACATTTAGCAAAGTTTTGAGGGTTTTTTGTCTACTGGGCACCCAAAATTAAATATCTAGTAATTCCAGTCTAACCAGGATAGAGTTGTTCTAGATATGATGTCACTAGAGAGTGGGAAAGTTTGAGGAACTGGCATCATGATAAAGAAGAGGAAGAAGACAGTAACTTCTTTTTCCAAAATCCAGTACCAGATAATTATGAAGTGCCTAGCACTGGATATAAGACATAGCTTCTGCCTTTAAAATTATAATATATATCATAATTGTTGATAAAAACACAAAAGGTAATTAGCTGTATTGTGCAATACAAGTAAATAATGAAGCAATAAGCCTTGCATGGGATATAGAAGGAGAAAACTCACTCTCATAGGTATTGTCTACATATGACACCTTTCCAGTTGTCACTTCTAGGCTTTCATTTGTCTTTACTATTTTACAGCTCTATAAAATTTTAATAACAAGATCAAATAATTTTTGTCTATAAATATGTAATGTCTCTCCTATTTTTAGAGATTCTACTGACTACCCTTTATATCCATATTGCCTTTATTTACACATTATTTGAACATATCTGATCCACAATGTCGTTTTTTAGGATTCTCTCTCTGTTTTTTGTTTGTTTGGTTTTTTGAGACAGGGTCTCACTATGTAGTTCATGTTGGACTTGAACTTGCTATGTAGCCCAGGTTGGCATCAAATATGTGGTGATTCACCTGCCTGAGCATCCCAGGTGCTGGGATTATAGGCATAAGTACCTCACCTGGCTCAGGATTCTTTTTTTGGGGGGGTCAAACTCAGGTCCTTGCGTTTGTAAGGCAGGCGGCAGAACCACTGAGCTAAATCCCCAGACAAGCAATCTCTTTTAAACTAACTATAACATCTACCAGATTTCCTCACTGATTAGTGAATAGATAATACTCATTAATGCATTTTCATTTTAAATTTCCCTGATAAATGATTTTGCCCAATTTTTTAAAAAAATAGCTTTTAAAAAGTGAAAGGCTAGGGTATAGAACAGTTCTGAGACCAATATGTAACTCATTGTCTTTCGGACACTGAGAGGTCATGGTAGGAATGAGTAGAAAAAGGCATTTACAAAAAAATATGCCAGGCCAAGAAGTTTCAGTTCCATCTACAGATAAAACTCTAAATTCAGGGTAAATGGTAAATAGCATTGTTTCAATTTGAAAAGAATCTGATTATTAAAATGTTATGAATTAAAATGTTCTGAATTTCCCTTTCATAATTTTTACACAGTTGTTTTTCTAAATTAGATTTTTGTATAACACAGTATCTGAGTATAGAAATATATATATATA